ACCCTAAGGAAGGTGGAATGAGGGAGGTCATTGCCTGTCCATTTCTACCCTGCATTTCCTTGAAGCTGCACTCGCAGATGGCACAAGCAGCCTGCACAGACTTGCACAGACCTCGAAGAGGCACAGAGAATCATAGAATCACTTAGGTCTGACAAGACCTGTAAGATCATTGAGTCCAACTGTTAGCCCAGCTCTGCCATGTCCATCCTAAGCCATGTCCCTAGAGTCCAACTGTTACCCCAGCACTGCCATGTCCACCCTAAGCCATGTCCATCAGTAACACATCTACACATCTTTTAAATACCTTCAGGATCCTGTCCAGGTTTAGAGGAACATGTTAAATTTGGCTCACAAGGGACTCCTGAACACCAAGTTGCAGAATATTTTCCTTATAAAAACTAATCTGGAGCCTTCACTTTGGATGATTTTCAGAAGACAGTTCTGTAGGAATTTCAAGCATGCAGGCTGATTAGGGGGAAAATACTGTTTTCCCATTTATCAGTTTACAGCCTAGTAGAACCTGCCACTCTTTAGGACTACAGGATACCATATGCAAACAGCTTCTTTCCCAAAACAATAAAATCCAAAAGACACAAAAAGCCAGAAATGGATAGAAACAGCAGGGAAGGGCAAAGGAAAGGCAAAGGGTCCTCAGTGGTTTGATGGGCAGACAAGTAGGTGGGTGTTTAACATTTAAATGCAGCCACAATAGGACACAGTTCTCATCTCTCCTGTTTAGAGCTCTGCCTGCTGCCTAACAGACTATAAAGGGGTACTAATGGATTATGCTCCAGACTCCTAACACCATTTAAAATACCAGGCATTGTGTGCTACCCTTGTGGAAAGAGGTCAATGTACTGTCATTGCCCATTATCTGAGCTTTCTAGCCTTGTAATGCTTCTAATAAGGGTATTGGTTTGCTGTGTTTATGTAAGCACATCTTTCCTTGTAATATTCAGAAACTAATATGACAGGAAGCTTTTAAAAAATGTTTTAAGCTCACTAGTAATAGCTGAAATAGAGATCCCCAGCACATCATCAGTGTGCAGCATAAAATATGCATGTGCTAATATGCACAGTCACGGGCAATCCTGCTGCTAAAGAACTACATCACTGGATGCTAATGCAGGTGGACCATAAAGAGGAAGGTTGTTAAGAGCTCTGGTTCCAGCCTTATAACTAGGTTGGCACACATGAACCCTTGCAGGGACTGTTTCTGCCTCAGATGAGCTCTGTGTAGCTGGAGGTCGAGCCCAGCACAACTGGAGGTTGAACCCACTACAGCTGAAGGTTGACACAGTTGGAAGCTGAGCCCTCTGCCATGCCACGTCCTGTGTGGGACCTGCAAACTGAGTAGCTCAGTCACACACACAACCCACAGGCATTAGCATCTACTCCCCAAACCCAATATATGCAAACCACGAACGACTACCAGACTTGTCCAAGATCTGAATGAAGCAGAGCTCCCTATACCTATATATCACCAGAAAGTTACTGCTAGATGGTGGTTTCTACCTCAATTAGGTTAGGCCACCTTCAGGGTACATTTGGGTTTCAACTCAAATTTGTGGCTTTGGTCCAGATTAATTCCGTGGTTTGGCATAAAAATCCAAGTAAGATTTAGAGGTAGAAGCTTTCCCAGAGCTTCCTGCAGTCCCAGAGCAGTGTAGCCCTGATGTAAATGAACAGGGTAAATGGACCTGGCTATGGGAACCAGCTGTGGGACAGGCAGATGACATTTGAGGTCCCCTCCAGGCCTGTTTTTCATACAGCTTGTGCCTGATAAAAAGGCATTTAAAACAAATAGAGTATCAAATACTACATGAGAAATGAATAACTGTGCCAGAGGACAGAGCAGACAGTGACCAGCTGTCCCCATGAGAGCGTGACACTGCTTTGACAGCCCCATGTAAAAGGTAATAACCACATGTAAATTCGTTTAAACCCTTGAATGTTCAGATAAAAGAAAAACCTAGAATAAATTAGTGATGCCTTGCTTGTTAAAAGCCACTGATTGGAAGCTTATGGCTTGATTTCACAGGAGTTGTCTCCTGGAGCTCGAGCCAGCGGGGCATGCAGAGGGGAGAGAAAGGGAGATCACGGCTGGATGTGGAAGTGGAGTGGCTGGATACTGCTACAGCATGCATGAGAAGGTGTTTTTTCTCCCCGTGATTGTCTTGTTTCATCTCCTCCCCCCTTCTCCACTCCCCACTATCAGCATTTAAAACACCCCCGAGTTTTCTTGAGCAGGTTTGCTGTGCTCATTAAAATACTGTGAGCACTTATTGGCTATAATGAGCATCATTAAATTCTGGTAAGTGCCAGGACTGTTCTGTGGAGTTGAACAGACTCAGGTTCTGGAAGGAGAGCTCAGGCGCTGGAAGACAATGGAAATACAACATTTTCCAGAAGAGTAGAAACACAAGCTTTCCCCATCTTTCTGCATTGGGCTAAGTCAGACCTGTTAAGCCACAGATATTTCTTACTGACTACTTGGATTCATCCTGCCCCAGAAGGACTCTCATCTTCTCTTATCAGAACAAATTAAAGATTTTTGCATATTTGCATCTTCTCATTTGATAATTTTCCTGCATTTGTTATTTGGAGATAGAAGTCTGCTTCTAAAAATTCTCTTAGCAAAGTGGTTTTCTCAGCCTCAGGGAATGGTGCAGGAGGGATTGCAGAGCAGTATTCAAAGCAGCTGGTGAGGCTGCAGGAGCAGCAGGAGATCAAGAGATGAATGGGTTCATGTGGGGCAAAGATCACGTTTTACACACCCAGTTCTTGTATTTATTTCCAATTGGCTGTGTCAGAGACACAAAACCAGACTAGTAAAGCCATTCCAACTGCAGGACTCAGCACGACCACCTATGTTTTTATCACCAAGTGCTGTTCATCATGTACTAACATTAGAAGAAATGAGTTAACTAAAACCATAAACAAATATGCTTTACCCTGGAATAATCTTAGAAGAAATGAGTTAACTAAAACCATATACAAATATGCTTTATCCTGGAATAATCCCCAATAATCAGAGGGCAAGTAAGGAAACAGAACCAGACAAGAGATTGAAGATCAGTGCATCCCCCCAAGAGCCAGTGTATGTGGTATCTCCATCCTAGTGAGATGGAGAGAGCTGCTGGAAGTGGGAGGTTTCTGTACATATCCCTAGGAGATGGCACTTCAGCATATGTCCTGCAAAATACAGTGTATCAGGGCAGGGCAGTGAGGGAGAAAGGAGCAGAGAAGTTCACTTGGCCTCCCAAGCAACAAGTAGAGAGTTGACTGACCACCACCATATAGCAAAAAAGCATGGGACTGACACACCTAAGTTATGATATTATAAGGAAATAAAGTTGTATTCCTGAAAAGTGATCATTCAAAATTCTACTAGTTCATTTTGGGGTTGATACCCATACCACAACATATGACCAACCCTTCCATCACCTCAGAAATACCTATTTTTCAACTACATTAATCCAAAGACCTTAGTTTGGCATCAGATGAAATGGGTATCAGAATGGCATCAGTTTCACAAGATTAAATAACTGATCTGGTTAAGCATTAATTGTTCCAGTTTTGTCACTCTTTGCCCACTCACAGGAGCTTTTTGTGGATTATGGCTTTATAATTGCTTGCTCCCTAAGCACACACGCATTGCAATCTTCTGCACACCTTGACAGCATCCTGGTTAGAGAAAATGAACACTACATGTTCCCCTGACACAGCATTTTATCTGCTGGATACAGTAAACCAGAGATTGTTTATTCAAATTCTCATGGCCCATTAATGACATAATGCTGGACACAGCTGTTCAGGACTTCACAAGACCAAAGCAGAGAAAGAAATGCCAGGAGACTTCCAACACGCTGCTCATATCAGAGCCTGGCTGGGGAGGTCCTTGAAAGTTGTCTAGGGAAATTTAGCCTTACAGCGCTCTCATGAAGTAAATCCAGGATTAAAGCCTCAAACTTAGTTTCTCCTGAAGACTCAAATGATCCTAAAGTAACCCCACCTGAGCAAGGTGGCAATGACTACTTCGAAGAAGATCAGACTGATCATTTCATTTTTACTCTGCTTGGTCAAATTATCTGCTGAAAAACTAGGTCCTGCCATATATAAAGGCTCATGAGTCCTAGAAGTGAGGTGTGCCTGGTTCATCACGCCCTGACTTTTCTTGTGTGTGAGCAGGAGAGGTGAAGCTCACTCTGCAAACAGGCGATTCAAGGTCAAGACACCTCTTGAGATCTCAGAAAGAGTTTGAACAGACTTTAAGTGATGCACAGAGCGCTCTGGGCCCGGAAGGCACCATCTGCCCCACTGCAATCTACATCCCAGTACAGCTGCCCAACAGTTTTCTAGGGGCTTCTGGAAAGCTAACCCTGGCCAGGGAGTCTGCAACAAGGGAGAGCTGCAGGCAGGACTGATGCGCACTGACCACGGCACAACAAGGATAAGGACATGCTCCACCTAAGTACCATATCCAGGGAGCTTCCCTGTACATTTTTTTTTCTTCATGAAGCTTCCAGAGTCATATCATTACAGAACAACATGCATTTTCCCAAAGTAAAAAGTAAATCCAGTTTCTCATCTTCCCACTCAGGGAGAAAAGAGAAAGAAATCTGAGAGAAAGGCTCAAACCTATCTTGCTGGTATACCCCAGTTCAAAACAACCTATTTCATTAATTTTAAAACACTTTGTAACTGAAAATTGGGGAAGGGTGGTACCTAGTGTTTACATATATGCATGTAGAGATACATATATAGCAGGTAAGAGGAATATGATTTGCAATGCTGAACTGATTCCTCAGCTTGGCAATACTGCAGACATCTCCAGCAGAAAGAGAGGATCATTGGGAAAATTTGTTCTTCCCTGTGATAAGGACTACCCATGGCAACTAAACACCCCATTATTGAAGCTGTATCTGAAGTCATGCTTAGAAGAAAGACCATCACCCTCCCTCATCTTCCCCAGACCTTTCAGGGTAACCCCTACTTACAATTGTGAAGTTCATAACCTTCAGAATCCAGATGGTCATAGCAAGGTTCACCAGGATTAAAATCATTAGGAGCAGCACAAAGAAATAGAGGCATCTCTTCCTCCAGCCATAAATCCCCACTTTGTATACCTGGGGTCCTTCCGAGGTCTGCATGGTGCTCCGGTGCGCGTACTGTTCCTGAGGCATCTGAAATGAAAGGAATAACCACGTGTATTCAGAGGCAAGAGAAAGCTGATGAGAAAAACTGCTTGTGCCTGTGCCTCTTTGAGGGTTTTTGTTTTTCTTTTTCAGAGTTTACCAGCTGGGCAGCAGCTCTTTGGATACCTTGGTTCTGTGTTAGTTTTCCTTCTGCTGGCTGTATGCAGTTACATGCCAGCAGAGAATTTTATGTGTCAAATGTATATGTGTGTATTTCTAAACACACGTAAGCAAGCTGTCTAAAGGTATCCTATGGAAATCACTCTGGAGTGACTCTGTTCTCCACCCCAGGTTTTGCAAGGCAGGCACTCCAGGGCCTCTAAGGATCCTGAGGGGAAAATTTTGCATGCGTTTGGTAAAAGCAGTTGAGTTCAGCAGTTTGTTTGGAAGATGCAATATGACTTCTCAGAGGCTTTAATTTTTTTTTAAAAAAAATCAAAATAAAAATCATCACAAGTAAAATCATTCCTTCCAGCCAAAGAAAAAACGCAAAGGGGAAGTGTTTGCCTTTCCCCTTCCTGCACCCCAATCTTTCCTAACCAAGTAAACATGAAGCACAAGGTTCTCCAGCTGCCACATCCCTAACAAATTATCCCCAAGTCTCTATGCTGATGTAACAACAACTCTGATATCCCAGGTGGGTGAACATGCAGCCCAGAACTCATCAGGTAGAGGAGCTAGTCACCAACAAACACATGGACTTCCAGAAAAACAGATCTTTTTACACTGCTACAACCACTGTGGTCTGTACAAAGGGAAAACTTACACAACAATAAATTACAGAGTTTCCACTACCTGGGGGAAATTATAACTGCAACTACTGTACAGTCAAGGATTTTATTGCCTAATATTTTAACAGGGTATCCTGGAGAGCACATATTAAATGCAGCCTCTCCCTTGGAGAAAATGAATAAATTGCATTGCAAACCCTCTCAAACCATGAAAGAGGTTTGACCAAGGAGAAACTATATGAAATATCCAACTAAAAATACCTCTTTATTGCAAAAGTGGTTTATTCACTTTATCTCTTTCCTGCTTTCAGTCTTTTTTTTTTTTTTTTCTTTACTTGCAGTCTCTAGGATGGAGAAAATAGCATATCCAGCTGGGGCAAAACTTTACAGACATCAAAAGAATTTATAGCAACAGAAGACAACCACAAAGAGTAACTTGCATCCACACAGCAGCCTGGTTTGGAGAATTTTTCTAGTTCTGATAAAATATTTAGCTCACAGCTGCCCTAACAGAGATAGAGCAACTAAAGTACTACAACATGTATGATGAGCACCACTTAGTAATACAGTATAAGTTTATAACAAGAAAATAGCATGGCAATTGTAGATAGCATGTTCTTTCTATACAAACTCTCACACAGCCACATTTAAAGCAATGTATGATTTCTAGCTAGTGTTTCCCCCATGAACTGTAAATACACACAAAAAATGCTCATGTCTGTAGTTCTCCAGGAAGAGAAGACAGAATGATGGACACAGAGTGCTGAGGTGTGTTAAACAAATGAGCAGAACAAGAAAGTCTGCAAGGCAACTACATGAGGAACCAGCTATATCCGCTATCAATAATCTGTACTGTGTGGGAGGGAGAAGTATGTTAGTCATAATTTACATTTTGGCAACTTTTCCTGACTCAAACATTAAAAAGAATTAAGGCACCAGGAAGAAAAAAAAAGTATTGCTGTGTAAGAACATCCTGTGGCTGCACTTGCTAGGTGACCACCTCCCCTCCCCTTTCAATTACTGAGCTGAGGGGAAAGGCTGCTGCTACTTAATAGGATTTTCTTTTCTTCTTTAGGAAAGTATTAGGAGCCACCACATAATTTTGCAACAGTGGAGAAAAGATAATACTGAAACAAATGTAGAAATTGGAAATAAAAGCACATCTTCCAAAAGGCAAAACTAAAACTGTCTGCCTGACCTGAGAGGGCTTAAAAGACACATGTGCACAGCACTGGACCATCACCAGTGCATGGACAATCCCATCTATAATACTAAAAATGCAACATGTCACATCTTTGTGATTTAGCCATGGACAACATGACCAGGACTACAAAAGTATAGCCTGGAATCTGGGTATTTCTCCAAGGACTTCTTGGTGCTGCACAAAATACAAGGGTAATAAGGTTCTGCACAAGAGCTGTACACTTAGTCCTCACATATGAACACTGCAAACAGGGCCTGAGACAAAATCCAGTCCATTTAGAAAAGCTATTCATCCTCTCACCTTAGCATACCTTAGAGATATGGCCCATGACAAGAAAGATTTATTTGATTTTTTAAGACTACTGGAAGTGCCCTGACACCACGTCTGCTGATCTGCACAAGCTGCTTGCTGAGTTCCTCTGCAAAGAAGCTTCAGCACTTCCCTTCAGTAAAGCTGAAACCAGGCTCAGCTGAAAGACACCACAAAGCTGAACTGGCATTGAGCTTCCAAAAATCACACCAGACCTCACATGTTATGGCAAATCTTTGTTCCATGCCCCTCTCCCTCCTTCCACCACGTCCTTGTTCCTGGCAGAAAGTTTCTCACTCAGGATGTACAACCCAGATGACAGATTCATCAAGCAGAAAGGTGTTTTACATGCACAGGGATGAATAAACACCTTTCCCATGCAGACACTGGCACTGTAACATTCCCTGGCTATGCTGGCTCCTTAGGCTCAGTGAGGACCATGGGCAGGATGAGGCATAACACAAGGAATCAATAATGTTTCTCTGCCATGGGGGTTTCTTTGATCAGCACTTAAATGATGCATGTTTAGTAACAGAACAATTTAAAGCTTTAAGGGGATGCAATCTGGGAAGGCACCTTCTCTCTTATGAGCCCTCTTGAAATTTGCCAAAAATGTCCTAGAGTTTGCTGCAGCAGGGACCAAACGTCCCTGAGCCTTGTACAGCCAACACAGCATCTCCCCTCCCTGCCTGCTTGCATATAACTGAGGTGTGACAGCTTCATCAGAAAAACGAAGAGCATCTGACCCCAGGCTAACCTGTAGCATGGTGAAGGGAACATATTTCTAGAGATGAGAGAGAGGTTCAAATTCCCTTGGGCCTTGGACATACATCTCCCACATCCACCCTCTCTTTGTGTCCGTATCATCAACACTCTCTTCTCTTTCTCTTTGTTTTCTGAAACAGAAACCTTTTCTTTTGGGCTGAAATGAGGAAAAAAAAGCCCCTAAAAACCTTCAGAGGTACTCTGCCATATCACTGGAAGGCAATGTACTTGTATTCACTAGCTGTAAATGCTCTGCAGATTTATCCTCTTTAATTTCTCTGTCTTTTAAGTGCACAGCATCCACCAGGTTCAAAAGAACAGACATTTCTGGAGCGTGACTGAGAACAAATCTTGGCATGAGGAAGAGTGTTTTGAGCCATCTATCAACAAGACATTTTGCCTCTCCACTCCCCATAGAAGTCTCTCAAGTTTGACACCCCCAGGCCCGTTAATCCACCAGTGTCATGACCCAGAATTGATTTATGGCCCCACATACAGGTCAGACCACAGCCCAGGTCTCCATGAAAAGGATCAGGCTCTGGAAAATGCCTTCTCACTTGCAACATGGTCAGCAAGGGCTGAGTCCTGGATGCAATACTTGCTGGGGTAGTTAAATCTCACAGCACTTTTCTCCAGGAGCATCTAAGCCATGAATTTATCCTCTTCTATCTAACTCAATGGCTGTGTCAGTGTGGCCTCTGTTACTGCCATTGGTGTCCCCAACACTGAAATCTTCACTTTCTGCTTGTCCCTCTGTTTCTGTCAACAATTCCCATCCCTCCACATGGGGAGCAGTTCCTCCATGATTTGGGAAGTCCCTCATCATTTGATGTCCACTTCTCAGGTATCAGTGCTACATGACACATGGCCAAAGAGACAAAAAGTAAAAGGACACATCCTAAGGAATGTTCTCTTCTTTTATGACTAGTCTCTTATCAATGGGGTACATCACTTATAGTCTGCTCCAAATATCTAGCCTAATTCTGGCAAACATAAGCACAGCCACAAGTTTTCTTGGTCAGCACAGTCCACTGGGGCATGCTGTGCCTAGTCCTCTGGGAAATACTTCTTTTCTCATCCCCATCTCTTGTATCTTGTGGAATTTGGACTCACTCAGCACAGGCAGCTGGGGAGACCTTAGGGATTCTTCTCCTGGTAAAGCATCTCATCCAGATCTCTCAATGCTCCAGGCTACCCCCTACCTCTAACATCTTGAGAGTTCATGTAATTTCCCCAGTTGCTAGGGCTGACAGCATTTCAACAACAAATGTACTTGAGGATAAGTCCACTGCAAAAACCTCAGTTTATAAACCAGTAGTTTTGAGCAGATGGACCGAACCAAAACCTGAACATGGGACTTCTGCTCTGCCCCATGACTCAAGGAGCACTTACAGTAAAACTCTAAACTTATTAGAGTTTGCCAGAACAAACCAAAGTAACAGGCAGCTTCATCTCTGAACAGCATCTCCTAAACCAGAAGTGGTATTTTATTATGCTGCAAGAGTCTGTGAGCAATGTGATGTTACTATTGCTTCTCTTCTCTGAGGAGAGACACATATCTGCTTTCTTATTTATGAGAGTCTCTTCTAAATTTTAGACTTTTTTCTTGATAGTTACCTTGTCTCAATACTTTTTTCCAGCATTAAGAAGAAAATGGAAAGTTAGCAAGGAAGAAAGAGTTTCTGCAGTGAGTTCTTTTTTCCAGCTAGTCAACAGAGAATGTCTTTCACAGAATGCCCCACGATTTGTTGCGATACGTTCACACTGCATGCAAACACCACACCAGCTTTGCTGCCTTCACATGCCAGTTCCATTGCACCACTCGGATGATGTGAAGCAATCACAAGCCTCCGTCCATCAGTGCCAAGTTTATAAAAGCTCTTTCTCACCGGAGTGTCTCAAAGCAGGATGAACAAATATGAGAACTACACCAAAATAGCCAGAAGCAGGTGTGACTGCAGGAGGCTTGGGAACAGCAA